TGGTATGCAAGCCATTCGGTCCGAAAATGACGTTAGTTTGGAAAAGAGTTTTCTTTGGAATAGCGTGTGGTTTTGCCTTGGCATATTCCGTCCCGTTGTTTGGAACATCGGGGGTTCTAAAGACTGTTGATAAGTTTATGAATCATAACGTTACGACAGAGATATGTAAATTTTCTGTTGACACTTCACCAGTAATTACTGTGTATTTTGGACTTTTGACACTTATTATGGTGGCAAACATTGGAATAACGGCTGGACTATATGTGCCTGTTTTGAGACAGGTTAAGCTTTCTTTTCAGCGAAAAATAAAAATGACAAGCATTCAAAATGAAAGTAATATTGCCTCTCATACCGAGTCTTCACATACAACGCAGTCAACTGAAATGGAACTTGACAAAGAACATTATGGGAAAGATAGCACAGAGTTACAAGACGTTCATGTATCAACGAAAGAAAACTATCCAAACATTCATGAAGACATTAGGAAAACCTCCAAAGTGGCATCCAATGAAATTAGTGAGGATGAAATAAAAAGTCAAAATCCTAATGGAACAGGTACAATGGAAAGCAAAAATACGCGCCGAAAAGATGGATCCGTGCAGAGAAGAATCACAGTCATGTTTCTTGTCATAATAATTGCTTATCTTTTGTCTTATATTCCACCGCTTGTCATTTTGATTCTGTCATATGCTATCGAGGATTTTAATTTCATCACTCTGTCGGAATCGGCCACAATAGCCTGGCTTTATCTTGCACGGTTCGTTTTTCTGAATCATATCGTTAATCCCTTTATCTACGGCTACTTTGATACAAAATTTAGGGATCAATTACACATTTGTTTTATGAAGTGCAAAAGTAAATTCATTTCTTAATAACTGATTTTAAACTCACATAAAGGATTGCAACATCTTGATATGAAAACAATATTTTGGAGCATTTGGGCGATGAAAAATAAAATATCTTTTGAATTAGGAAAACGTTATTCATATTGTATTCTTCATGAGCTATATTTGAATAAATTTAATTTGTAAATATTCTAAATAAGGTTGTATATACATTTCAGACATCTTATGGATACAAGTGTTTCTTTTTATATGCCTCCAAGATTTCATACCGTATATACTCGCCTATAAGTCGGTTGTATTTAAGAAGCTTGTATATCAGATGGACTGACCTCATATAAAACCATACTTTTAATAGCTCGCCTATAAGTCGGATAAAGAGTTTTAGACCAGAGATTAACTCCCAAAAAAACGACTTATAGGGGAGTATATACGGTAACTATATTTTACCACATTTTACTAAACTGTTAATAGTAAAGTCTCATATTTATTTTTAAAGCATAACTATTATATGTCTTATTCCTGATATTTAAACACTTGGTTTTTAGCAGAAAATGTTTCAGAGCAGCACATGCCTCCAATCTTCTTTTTGATTGGATGAAAATATATATGGGGATAATGTTTCAAATCAATTAAATGATTTAAGTCTAAGTAACAGATAATAAACATATTTCAATACAAATATTTTTCTAAGTATTTGGACATATAAAAAGGAATGTTACGGAAAACAGATAAAAATACTTTTGATTTTGTTCCGCAGACGTAGATTAAATACACATATATTTATCATGTAAAATGTAATATATACATTCACTTGTTTTTTATACCCCCCGCTTGAAAAGAGGTAGGGTATATGGCAATCGGTATTTCCTGTCCGTCCGTCCGTTCGTCAGTCTGTCGCTTTGGGATACCAATCTCTTATCCACAACTCTTATACCACTGAGTGAAATTTAATGAAACTTTCATAGAATATTTATTACATCTTGCCATTGTGCACCTCCTATTTTGCTTTTTGATACGACACATATTTTGGGTTTCCCTGCCAATCAAAACATGGACTCTGCCATTATATCCATATGGGAGGAGGAGTATCACTTATTAAGCTCATTGCTCACAATACCTCTTGTTTTCTCTACGACTCATGCAACAAGTGTTTCATAATGACATAATCCATAACAACAAATTACATTTTATTAGATTCTTAAAGTCTACTTTCTTGGTTTTAAGGTTAATCTTTAAGTAAATTGTTCTCTCTGTATTCGAAACTATAACTGGATTTATATATAGCAAAATAAAGTTCGTGTAGGTATTACTTAAACAATGACAAAGCGTCTTCATATTTGTATCATTTATGAAAAATGTTTTGGAAGAAGCAACAAGATATTTAAAGCAACATAAAAAGTATTCATCTTGCAAACATGGTGAACTGTTTATTCAATTTATTACACTCCCGCTTAAATAGTAGGAGGGTATATAGTGATCGGGATGTCCGTCCGTCTATACATCCGTTCGTCTGTCTGTTACGCTTTAGGGTGCCCATCCCTTACATGCAACTCCTTTATTACCACTAAATAAAATTTGATGATACCTTTACAGAATCTTTGTTACATAGAGTCATTGTGCACCTCCTATTTTACTTTTTGATCTGTCAATTATTTGAATTCATGTACATATTTAAGAAAACTTTTATTTGAACTGTTGTCTCCACAACAAAGATTCATATTAATTTAAAATTCATCAAAATAAATTTTTACTAACAATTAAACAACAAATCATCTAAATATTTCAAACATTTGGTGAATGCCTCCAAGGCCTGCTAAAGCTCTTGTAACATGAAATACATAGATAAAATATGAAATTAAATATGTGGATGAAACGAACAGTATTCTAGCTCAAAAGTTCATAAAACATTACAAAATAGGAGCAGAGCAAACACGGACCTCCAAATCACCAAAGGTGGGATCAGGTGCCTTGGAGAAGTGAACATCCCCTGCTGACCGGTCACACCTGCCGTGTGCTTCTTGTCATGATAAGAAAATAACGGAAAAAAATTCTTGGACTACTTAGTGTGTATACACTGTACAATGGCCTAAAAAATCAGTATGAAATAAAGTCAGATAGCATTTGACTTAATGATATTGTATTTGCCGACAAGGTGATTGCATCAACCATAGAACTTACAAAATAATTACTTTAAACTAGACTGCTGATAAGTCCTAGCACTAGTATTTTCAAAGTTCCAATAATGGTTAAAGTTTTTAAAATATTTTAAGTTTAAAGTTTAGGAACGACATGTCTTAAATGTTGATACTAAAATAATCGCCTTGTTACAATGAATATACATGAAATATAGCTTTAAAGTACATGTATCATAATCGACCTCAATAGAACTCGCAGACATGCAGTGTTTGTAAAAATCAATTATTTTAAGATAAAAATGACATTCGATCGCCAATTTGAAGGTCGAGGTTCCATGCTTCAAGACTTTTTAAGATGATTTTTTGCAGTTTTCCATGTAAAATTTTGTTAATTAAAGGACATGTACAGTGGGATGGTAATAAAGGAAAAAAAGCAGCAATATGCACGATATTTTTTGTTTTATTAGAGTGTGAATGAAGTATGCAAAGATAAACATTAAACATTATTAAAGCTCAACATTTCACTGAAAAAAAAAATACAAATCACCTGAACAATTGAGGTGAATCCTTGTATATAAAACATGAAGTTTTATAAAGGAATCATGAAAATTAGGGCAAAATACATTTTCAGAATATAAGTTAAACTGTATCTCCTCCAGTTTTATTACTAGCGAATTTTTTGAATAATGATATAATAATTTGCACTAGACAATATTCCGCTAGAAATAATGCAAAACCACTATAAATTCATGTTTCTGCATTTCTTTTCATTGATTATATTTTATAAAAATAAATAGTTGCAAACAATTATTAAAAATCTGGTTTAAACGTGCTGAAATATATAATTCTGATTCCAAAAATTACAAAATAATTGTCACTTTTACAAATATATTTGAATTGAGAACATCAGAGATAATATGCAATTTCATATTAACTTGAAATATAAAAGAGCACGTGTACGGAGTCTGTCATCCATCAGTTTCAAATAAGGATGTTTTCTTGATATTTTAAGATAGGAGAAAATTAAAATTAAATTATATGACAAACGAGATGACTTAAACTTTTCCGTCATCACCTTTCCTTATTTATGCAGTTATATTCAGTTATCTCCCGCATATATGGTGTTTACATTTCCCATCTTATTCTATAACACAGAGCATGTTTCAAGTACAATCAATTTTTAACATTACATGTAACCTCTCACTGGGTCATATTTTGTCTCAATCGGTTCATACCGTTTGCTTAACCATTGTTTCTATGCAGAAAATGACGGGAGTATGTTTCATCTAGTCTACTTGATGAAAAAAGGGCCCATGGCGGGTGTGACAGGTCACCAGGGGATAAGTACTCCACCACTACATCTGAACCACATTCCAATGTTTTAAAGGCCCGTTTTTGCTCTGCTTTTAATCTTTTTTACTTTAAAAGTTGAATATTGTTCGTTACTTAGACATTTTACTAACAAAGTAACAAAGATGTGGTACAATAATGTAGCCGTGCACACAATCAATTAGATTGTGTGTTGAGATTTTCACATTTGTATGTATTCGGATGTACAGTTGCAGGGAAAGGATCTATTAGACTAATATACAATTATACATGTACTAAATTTACTAGAAACCTTGATTGTTGATAAAATGTGATTTTCTAATGATTATTGTATTCTATCTACAAACTTGATACCATTAATAATTGGATAGTAGGTTCATAAGTTATTATATAAGGAAGACATGTTGACAGAAGAAACTTTTAACTATTTGTTAAAAAAAACCCTGAAATTTCGCTCAGTATTCAGGGAGATATTGTAATGAGCATTATGCCCAATATAAGTAAGCTTTCTATAATGAAAGATGAGAGATATACAAATAATAAGAAAAACTCACGCGGAAACAAGCATAAATTATATATTCATTCTGATCAGAGTAGTGAGCGTAACAGGATGCAGGATTAAACGTTTTCTTCCTTTTGTCACTGAAAGTAGAATCTGATTAAAATAGATTATTTGTTACATATACAAGCCATGGAGAACTCTACGAACTACACTTTATTGCTACAAAGTTCTTATTTTGATCTTGCTTTAGGTTGTACAATTCTGATTGGTATAGCAGCTCTTGTGGGAATAGCTGGGAATTTAATGATTATATTCTTTTATTTCTTTCGGATCAAAGACCGAGGAGAACGTTACTACATTCCGATTCTGGCAGTTATTGACTTTCTGGCAAGCATCACCAGCTCCTTATACAACATCATGGACAACTCTTATTTTTATAACTACCCCAATGACGTCATCTGTCGACTACTGAGCGCCCTACAGGTGTGTGTACCGGGAATATCTGCTCATGTACTATTGTTGATATCAATACAAAGATACCTTCTAGTGTGTAAACCATTTGGACCAAAAATGACGTTATATTGGAAAAGAGTTGCACTGGGACTAGTTTGTGGAATTACAGTAGTCTATTCAGTTCCAATTTTGGGAACAGCTGGAGTGAAAACTTCCCAAGAAGTGTACCTAAATCACAATGTTACTGTCAAGATATGCAAATTTTCGGCTGATTCATCGTCATACATAACGATTTATTTTGGAATTTTGTCCCTTATCATAATAGGTAACATTGTAGCAACGGGAGCCTTTTATATTCCTGTTCTTAAACAAGTAAGAATAGCATTTCGTTCTTTTCGTAGAAAGGTAGCTAACAAATATAAAGAAGACACCGTTCCCACAGAACTAGAGGCTGTTTCGGATTCAAACGCCGAGCAAATTGAAATGAAAACAATCTCGGTCTCTAATGCTTCAACTCCAGCGACAAATGAACTCCCAGTTTCAAATTTATCTCCAGGTAAAAATGCAGAACCCGGAAGTATTACAGAGACAGACGATACAGAGGATGTTGGTACTAATAATCCAAACATTTCAAAGAATGAGAATACAGATGACAAACCGAAAGAAATGAAAGAAACCAAGTCAAAGCGTAAATCAGTTCAAAGGAGGTTAACTATGATGTTCTTTGTGCTTATCTTGGCATACATTATCTCTTACATTCCTCCCCTCGTGTTTTTGGTACTAACATACGCCATCGAAAATTTTAATTTTTTAACCTTAACAAAGACAGAGTCTGTGCTGTGGATATACCTTCCTCGTCTGGTGTTTTTGAACCATGTGATCAATCCATTCATATATGGATATTATGATACAAAATTAAGAGATCAACTGACAACGTGTTTTAAAAGGAAAAGACACATCATCAACTGATTTAATATTCTAATATTCTATAACTCTTGTAAACTGTCCCTTTACTCTTAAATAAAAGTTTAAAAAATACATTATTCATGTAGAGGTAAAATACTGTCTGATATAGCTATCAAGATAAAGCTATCTGATATATATGATGTAAACTAAGTTTTTGCTCTATTTAAATGGATTTGGCAGGTTTTCTAGGACGAATGAAATTATTCAGGCATTTTAAAAAAGGTAAACAAGATATTAAGCATTAACGTCCAGACACTGGCTATTTTTATTGAAAGACAATGTATTGATGGGTATTCAAAAATTCTGGACAACATTTAAACAGTTAAAGTCAAAATTTAAAGGCCTTTTGCATATGTTGAGAATGTATGAGAAATACGTCACATCCCTAACAAGAAGTTACTTACAGTAGTTAAATATAATTAACTATATTAGATATATTGATTTTTATCTGATTTTTGTCCCCCAGTTTTTTGAAGATTTAAAGCTATAGTGAATCTGTGTAATAAAATCAAAAACATAAAATCTTTTGACTTTTCAACTTTTTCATAAAAACATTCCCCACAATAATCTCCAGCATTTCTTACATCATTGACAGCTGCTTTTCAAATGAAAAAGAAACTTTAAAAAATACTTACCTTGTCATTGTTTATTTGCAAAATTACTTCGGTAAGATTAATGATATGGGGATAACGAACAGTATTCAATATCAAAGTCCATTAAAAAAAACAAAATAGGAGCAGAGCAAACACGGATCTGAAAAACATCAGAGGTGGGATCAGGTACCATGGAGGAGTGATCATTCCCTGCCAACTGAACACTCGCCGTGTGCTCCTTGTCATGATCGGGAAATAACGGAAAAATCCCTGCAGAAGAATTTCCGAGATATAAGATTAACATTACAGGCGTGCGTTGTTCAAGTACGACTGAGTAAACCATTGTTTTTTGTCACAAGTGATCTAGATATTGACGTCACGTTCACATTGCGACGTCAAATTATGGAGTAAACTATTTCATTACATATTCTCTCTACAGAACGTATTATATGACTCAGTGTGTGCCAAATTTCATTCTGATCTGAACTTTGGTTGTACAAATACAAGTACACTGTATAGACGTAGTTCAGGCACTTTTTAATTACCCCTTGTATTATCAATTAACAATTATCTTATGGTTACTTTAATTTTGTTTCTTCGATTAAACATCGCTGAATATCATCAATATGGCAATTTATAATGACGATGAAGCATCTGGCCATTTAGATGATTAGAACAGGCATTTCCGAAACCTGTTCCTTACCATTACAGTGTCTTATTTTATCTTACTTCATTTTAATCATTTTCGAATTCGTGTCTAATATATTGTTCAAAACTATAAACTCTATTTACAAAAAGGAGTTAGGTCTCTAATGTCAGAGGCAACATCATGTGGAGGACTTGTTAGAACAGTTTTTAGCATATTTTAGCATATTTAAATAATTTTTAAAACTTAAGACTAATCGTTAGGTACAATATACATTTCTTTAACACAAATAGACATATGTTCTTAAAATAAACATATTAATGGAAAATAATAGTCTGTTTGAAAACAATACACCATGCACAACACCGTTAGGGAAATACTTTGGTGATGGGATCCTGAATTAGATATTCAGTATGTAATCATGGCGCTGAACACTTAGAAAATACCATCAAGAAAAAGTTTTGCATTCTGTAAGTATTAATCTGTATTGTGTGTAGATCCGATGTTATTGTGTACCATACTAAAATTATCATACATGTACATGTGAAAATGTTATTTCAATAAAAAAAAAAATAGTTTACAGCTTCAATGCTCTACTATTCGTATAACAGATAAACATGCCCTCTTTGAACTGTCAGATGGAAGATGGACTTGGATTGATGATATACCATATTATTTTTTATAAATATATATCTTTACATTAAACTACAGGGATATTTTTTATATCTTATCTGTATATTGTATTACACTGTTTTAAATTCTTAAATACGGACATATTAAATGGCTTATTAAATCAGAAAATGTAGGGCTTCAAAAGATAGATTTTAAAGTGAAACTCAACTTAGGGTAATGTCAACGTTATCAGGATAAGGAAGTAAACATTTGTTTTAAATGATTTCTAAAACACAAAATGATTTTGCTTAAACTTAAGTATATCATTACCTGAATAAGAAAGAGAAGATTTATATCATAACAGAGTCCACCTTTTCTGTGCAAAATGCTGAACAAAACCAACGCTTTAGTTATACTGCAGGAAAGTTACCTGGAATTAAGCTTACCTAACACCGTGTTAATCATCATGGCTGCTGTGATAGGGGTGACAGGAAATTGTTCTATCATAGTGATATATTTCTATCGAATCAAAGAAAGAGGAGAGCGTTATTTCATCCCGCTACTCGCACTTGTTGACCTCGTGGGAAGCCTTACTATTGCTCCGTTCTACGTGATAGGAAATCTTTATTTTTACGTGTATCCGAATGACAACGTTTGTCGAATCTTATCATTCTTCCAGTTTCTTGTCACGGGGATCTCAGCACACGTCCTGTTGCTGATATCTATTCAGAGGTACCTCTTAGTGTGTAGACCATTTGGACCGAGAATGACACACTTCTGGAAAAGAGTTTCCTTTGCATTGGTGTGTATCTTCAGTTTAGCATATTCTGTTCCAGTTCTGAAAACATCCGGAGTGAAAATAATGGATGATATCTACATGAACCAAACAATTTCAACTAGGGTCTGCAAATTTTCCGTGGCAAATTCAACCGGAGTTGTAGCTTATTTTGGACTGTTAGTTTTAATTTCAGTGTTGAATATTGTTATGACTGCAGGTTTTTATTCCCCTGTTCTGCGACAACTAAGACTGTCAAAGAACATTATTTTCTCCACATGCACCCCTTTAGACAAAAAACGATGTAACCAATACTACTCATTCTCTGGCTCCTCAGTTTCAAATTCTGCTGGTGAAGAAACAGATCATTACGTTAATGAACCTAGTCATCCCACAACAGAACATCACAGTGAGAAATCAATCCCTACGGGTACAGAAACTAAAAATGTCTCTATTTCTCAGGATAATTCTAGTCAGACTAAATCAGAGGAAACTCGAGCTGAAATCCCAAACAATGTGACAACCATGGATATTCGCTTCCGCCCACAAAATGTAAGATTACAGAGGAGAATAAGTATCATGTTTCTTGTTGTTATCGTAACATATATTCTGTCCTACATTCCTCCCCTTATTCTTCTTCTACTCACGTACACTATCAAGGATTTCAACTACATCACTCTGACCAAAGGAGAGACATTAACCTGGATTTATCTACCGCGCCTTCTGTTTATAAATCATGTTGTTAATCCGTTTATATACGGGTATTTTGATGCTAAATATAGAGAGCAGTTGAGAAATTGTTTTAGAAGACAATGAAGTTTGTTTTAGATTTATTACCATTGTTGACAATTAAGAGGGGATGTAGGAACAAAGTTATGATATTGAATCAACAATTGGTACTGTAATAAATATTTTCAATATTGTGTTATGTCCTTTATAGTTTGTTTGTTTCTATTTTGTAGGATTTTTTTTTATCTGACAAGTAAAACAAGTGTGAATAATAATAAACTTATTCATTGTTTGAAATGACAAAATGATCCCTATTTTTGGGAGACTCCAGATTACGTAACAAAACTCCAGAATCAAAAACCTGATGTCATGTATACCTGTTTTAAAAAGGAATTAATATGTAGTGATAGAATAAACATAGGTAACAAAAAGGTAAAATTAAAAAAAATTAATGAGTCGAGTTCCACGTTTTCTCAATTCTAAAATTCTTCATTTGAGAAATATTCGTTTTTAGAAAAAAAACGGCATAACCTTGCCTATCAACAAAATGTTTATGCACTGATATCCGACACATCTTTCCAATAAATACCTAAAAATTGTAATAAAAAAAATGTTCTTGTGGTCGGAGGAGATATCTGTGAGGATCACCGTCCAGATATTGTTTTGTAAAAGCAAACATTAGATGAATTATTTTTTTCTTTCAATTCATTTTGCACACAAAATAATTCATCTTTAGAGTGCTCCTTGATTTAAAGTTTAAAATTTTTGATTTAAAGTTTAAAAGTTTTGATTTAAAACCTAGTTACTGGGTCATAGGTCAAGGTCATTGCGAATCTATGTTAAAGTATTATCATGGGAATATTTCAAACTCTCTATCTGTCTCAAATTTCACCAAAAGAGTTATCACCAGTTAAAGTTAAAATTAAAAGGCAAGGTTACACTAAAAAAAAACTGCTCCTTGAATCCCTTTATCAAAGTTTCTTTACTGAAAACAGGACCCTTTGACAGCCTCATCATAAAATATATGGAGATAACGAACTGTAGTTAAGCACAAAAGTCAATTAAACAATAAAATTTGAATCAGAGCAAACATAGACCTCTAAAACATCAGAGGTGGGATCTGGTGACATGGAGGAGTGAAATCAATGATGCATATATCAACATTTTATCTAGCTATATATGTATGAAAACATGTTTTATGCGAGGTGAATATCTATATACGTTCAGCAGGTTGTCTCTTGTGCCGATATACATGTAGCGTTTAATCACATGTATATAATTTAATACAGATGTATAATGTTAGTCATTTTATGGTAAAGAAAAATAATACTATATAACATAGAACTGCTTTATCAAGAAAGTATAAATATGAATAATTTAATAAAAAATTTGAATATTGCGTTTACTTTGTAAACTTAAATTAACGTGAGCAACAACAATCTCTAAATATTTCATTAACAGAAATAAATATTTTTTTATATTTTTTTTTCTACCAGAAATGTAAGGAAATCTGAATAAGTAGCCTTTACATGATACATGTATACGCAATACGAATTCTACAGAAATTAGTAAATAAACATTCAAGTAGGCATGTACGGGCCGTTAGTTTATGGTGTAAGTTTTTAATACATCTTTTAAAGAGAAAATCAACGTCCTCTTTTCAAAACGTGACAACATGCGAGGGTTTTATTTTTGAAAAATCAATGAATATCTGCACGAAAATCACCAATAAATCTGTAATAGTATATTCATCAAGAAGTTTTTTGCTGATCATTGAGGTATTGTAAATATGAATTTTACATTTACTTCCTGCTTCAATATCTATATAATAAAAGACATTATCATTCTAGGAATTTTATATGTTTCATATTTTTGAGATTTAAAGACAAAGAGAATGGTTTTCCTTCCTCTGTGTTTGATTGTCTTTCTACAAACATCCATCATAGAAGGTAAATATGTCTTTGCTAAAAAAAAATCAATCCTTGTAAAAGTACCTCAACTTTTATTGTTCATTTAAAATATAATAAGATGTTGCACAAACGGTTCATACGTAAAATATGCGATTTTAATAAGACTGTATTGATATAAAACTAAGGTTCGTATTACAAAAGCAAGATATTGAGAAATAATATATTCAACTAAAGACAATTAATGTTTAAACAAATTTCTTAATTTTGAGTCACAAAAAGTGTTGCAGTAAGAACTGCAATGTTACAAAATGTCAGGAATTGATTTTAAACGTCTATCTTTTGATTCACAGAGGTCTACTCAAGTCCTGCCATAGGATTTTCAGTGCAACTTTCAAGAGACACTCATTTGGGACACGGACAAGCGATCAGGTACGACAAAATTATTACTAATTACGGTAACAGTTACAACAAATGGACTGGACACTTTGTTGCTCCAAAGAAAGGATTATACTTGTTTTCCTGTTCCATAATGGCATACAACGATGAAACAATTCATATTCAGATGGTAAAGAATGGTATCAAAGTATCCACGATTTATTCCAATCCTTCTAGATTTGATCACAGCTCACAGACAGTTGTGTTGGTCCTACAAAAAGGAGATAGCGTGTGGACAAGACAGGCATATTCAGGTAGACATCTACATAAAGTAGCGGTCTATAATATGTTTTCTGGTGTCCTCATTTCAGAAAACATTTGAAAGATGTTTACAATCCATTATTAAATATCAAAAAGCATGTTTCAAAGCTTATACTATCTATAAAGTACTATCTATAAAGTAAATAAATGAACAATGATGCAAAATATGGCAATATTCTTGGTTTTTTATTATTTTTTCTTGTACATATTTGTTAAATTTGTTGCTGCTTTGCTCAAGCTGAAGGGGTGCAGTATTCAACAATCTTTCCCCTCTCTCGACTAATAATAGATATCATACCCAACAGAGAAATGTGCATAATATATATTGTTTCTTTGATAGAATCTGTGTCAATGATATACTTTTAAAATCCCTGGATTGAAAAGCGGAAAGGTATATAGTAATCGGGATGTCCGTCCGTCCATCTGTCTGTTACACTAATCTGCAACTCCCCCCATACCACTGAATAAAATGTGGTGAAACTGTCACATTATCTTTATTTTATTTTGCTATTGTACACATCCTATTTTATGTTTTGATCCGAAACATATTTAGGTTTCTCCTAACAATACAGGGACACTGCCATTTTATTTATATGGAAGGCAGAGAGTATCATTTAGTAAGCTCATTGCTCACAATACCTCTAGTTTACTACTGCACCACATTTGTGACTGATTTATACATGTACTTTATATCCATGTTGTCATATTTGCAAAGACATGAAATGTTGTATCTTTCAAGACTTTATATGTTTGATCCAGTGCAAGCGTTCCTACCTTTCATAACTTCGAATTCACTTGAACGTTTATGACTATATGTTTTTTCAATTGTAATTCCCTCAAGTATCTCAGGTAAATTTATCATAATAGAGATAATATGATACCTGCCGTTATCGTTTAACACATATTCACTTTATTCTACTACAACACAATAGAAAATGGTCATGTTAAATACATTTTACTTCTATTTTTATATACACCCACAACTTTATTTTTAGTATTCTCTCTTTCTTTCTAATATACTGAAAGGAAAAAAGAAAGAGTAGTGTAAACTTTTGGAAGGAATTAAATCTATTTTTCTTGCTTTTTTCAGTATTCCTTTATGAATTTAAAAGTCATCCTTAAAGAAAATGTAACCAAAATTGCACTTGATTTTTTTTTCATATTTTATGAGTTATTGAAACTCATATGACGATACCCCTTAAAAATGAAAGTCGAAAATTCTCATTGTCTGCAATGTTTTCCACTCGCATCTGTCACAACCTTGAATCTCCTTTGCATGGAATTCTTCAGAGCGTATATCTTTCAAACCCTGACTATATTAAGCATGGGTAACAACGCCGAAAAATAAGTCTAACGACGCGCGAATGCGCTAGTGAAAAGAATACAAACGAAATGTTAACCGGCTAAAAAAAAAACACACAACTGTTGATTTTGGTTTTGCGGTACATGTAATAATTATGACAGTCTACTTTATTAAAAGCGGTTTTATGGAAGAAATTTGGCGATTAAACAGGAGACGGGATGAATTACCGGATCATAACGTGACTGTTGCAACCACTATTGAAATAACGACCACTATTGAAATAATTATATCAATAGTGGTTGAGAGTGCATTTCAATAACAAACATAGTTAGTAACCACTGTTGAAATACGACCACTATTGAAATAATTGAAATAATTATATCAATAGTGGTTGAATGTGCATTTCAATAGCAAACATAGTTTGTAACCACTATTGAAATACGACCACTATTGAAAAAATTATTTCAATAGTGGGTGAGCGTGTATTTCAATATCAAACATAGGTAAAAACCACAATTGAAATACGACCACTGTTGAAATAATTATATCAATAGTGGTTGAGAGTGCATTTCAATAACAAATGTAGGTATAATCCACTATTGAAATACGACCACTATTGAAATAATTACTTCAATGGTGGGTGAGAGTGCATTTCAATATGATGACCATAGGTTTCAACCACTATTGAAATACGGTCAGTATAGAAAGTAAAGTTTCACCGCGTAATTTTTTAGTTTTTATCCAAAATTTCACAAAAATTGGATTTGGAGTGAAAATATATACATTAATAATTAAAGTGCATAAATTAATAAGGATTGTTTTAGTGAGGCAAAATTTCTTTATATTCTAGAAATTTATTATTTGCATCATTTTAATGAAATCAGACCAAAAAATATATACCAATCCAGGCATCCATATTTTGTTTGTATCATCTGTCCTTAAATAATGATTTAGATAGTTATTGAAAGAATGATTTCAAAAGTGATTTAAATAATTATTTTGATAGTTGGTGATAATGTTTCAAAACTAAAATCATACATTAATCCATATTGAAATCTTTTTTTCAAAATTGAACATTATTTCAATAGTGGTTGCAACCTATGTGAATCTCACCCACTATTGGAATAATTATTTCAATAGTGGTCATGTTTCAATAGCGGTTGAAACCTGTGTTTGTTATTGAAAAACACTCTCAACCACTATTGAGATACTTATTTCAATAGTAGTTGTATTTCAATAGTGGTTACAAACTACGTCTGCTATTGAAATGCACTTTCAACCACTATTAATATAATTATTTCAATAGTGGTTACTAACTATGTTTGCTATTGAAATGTGCTCTCAACCACTATTGGTAAAATTATTTCAATAGTGGTCGTTATTTCAATAGTGGTTGCATCACGTGACTATGTTTCCCGTTATTGTCGGCGTCGCGGTTGGTTGAAAACCATTCCAGATCCTCTGATTTCTGACAACGAATAATACTTTCTATTGGGGAATCTTTATAAGAAACGCTCAGTAAATTGTTGTTTTCTTTGTTTTACTTCGAAAACCAGACCTCAAGGAATTTTTTTAAAATATACCTCGATTGCAAGAAATTCATATTGTTTGTAAATATATTGGAAACAATGTGTTTGCATTAGATATATCAACTGGTACAACGAGATTTGTTGAGAAATCATCTTCGACAATTTGCAAATGTTTTAAGCTTTTAAACTTTTTCCCTACGTAAGTCAAACATTTCATAATTAATCAAATCTGAACATTAATTTGGTGCATATTAATTTTCGTAATCTGCGGTCATGCCGTCAATATAATGCTACCCTGCGTTTTTTTTTCCTTTCGGTATATTTCCTACTCTATTGTCAGCATATATTTTGTTCAGATGTTCATTTTTACGAAAATTATTAATTAAGAGTTTTTATGATTTTACTTTTAGGATTAAAGATATTACATGTTTGAACTGTGAAAAAAATATTGTTGTAAAATGAAAGAGTCACTTTTTAGTGGGGAAAAGCACATATATAACAGTTATGACAGTCATTAAACGATAGGATTTTTTAGCACTATCAAGAAGATAAAGATTTTTAAAACAAAGAGTTGAGTGTATGTCAATACATATATATTTTGAGTTAAAAAAATTATTACACTTTCGTTTTCAATGTAATGCTGCACTGTTTTATCTCAATAATAATAAAAAAATAAAATTAATTGCATTACATTGAAGATATTGTGAAGAATGAATGGTGATATTCTTTAGAGGCTTTTCTGTAGATATGAAGAGTATACGTTGTTCACACTTTCTTCAAATTTGTCACCAGGTACGGAAATTTGCGAATTGACATGCTACTTTCAGTTTTCAAATGAATGGTTTTACAAAACAATTATTCAGATCGTATTGGACTAAATAATTGAAGTGACAATTAACACTACATTGTTGTTCCAGCAAATAAAACTTAAATGTTCTGCCTTGTATTAACTCAAAATCGAATATACCCCCAAATCATGGTAAAAATATAGTATTTGCATTTGCATGGTTTAATTAGTATTTCAAACATTTGATGCTAAATAAATAGCGTGAACATCATTCTTTCAATCATAAACTGGCTGTTTAGTTTTATTTTGAGACATCCGTTACATTTTATTACTTCCACTACGTAAACGATGCACAGGACAAAATATTCCTACTGCCATTAGTTAAGAGCATGTGTACAAGATGAGATTAATACTTTGGACATTTGTATGGCATAAGGTAATATAGGTACAATAAACAACTAACACCAAGTTAAAAGCTTTTAAAACGAAAAACGGTATATAGAAAAGCGTAAACTGCCCCAAGTTTTGTTATATTGTTATATTGTATATCATGAGTTGAAATAAGTTTAATTCCTTATAATTTAATTTCAATGTAGACAATGAGACGATTTTTTCATAGTTTTTTTCTTTGGACCGTTTAACCAATCAAATGACGTGTTATAAATATATCATATTATACTATATTATATTATATTATATTATATTATATTATATTATATTATATTATATTATATTATATTATATATTATTATATTATATTATTATATTATATATATATTATACTTTATTATAATTTTTTTTACTATGAATGTGTACAATGTTTTTAAATACGTATATTATACTGAATTAGAATTTCAAAATGTGTGAAAAAGACACTTGTAACGTGGTTGAGCCAGACTGTCTTCAAATAACACCTAATACAGTTCCAATTTATAAAAAAAAATATTTACGTAATCACACTGATATTCACAGGCACATGCACACCTATCTTTCACATATACTCATATGAGAAAATAAATAAGCCTTTTAGCTTGACAGACAGGCTGAATGTTTCTTTATAAAATTATATCTGATAATGATTTATTTTTGTTGTCTTGTAATTTTTACTTGCACAGTTCTCTGATTATCTAGATTTGCCACAATCATGAGCTTTAACCCCTTCTCTACCGCATCTGTCAATATGACCGATAGCACGTTAAAACACGACATCGCGATAACAGGACCTCTGTATATTTTTAATAATAGCATGAAGGTATATAAACTATATATTATCTGTTAGGAAATTTTCTTTACTTTCAGACCCTGTAAAAATTTCGAGCCTTATTAATCGGTAATAGATAGATTTTACGTTTTGAAGACATTCATGACTTTTTGAAAATGATGCAATTTTCAAAAGCAAGGACGAATATCCTGACGATAGATATATTTTATCCTGATTAAATCATTTAGATAAAATTAATATATTTAAAAATGATATTTTCTGTGCTTTCAAAATATGTAAAA